TAGAGCCACTGTGCGACTGGGTAGCTGCTTGTTGTCTTTGTGAGTTTAAGGTAAACAGTAAAAGGTTGCTATTTGTGGAAAGGGGGATCTAATGAATTCCCATTGATTTTTCCCATTGAATTCCTTTATTTATAATCCCATTTGCAAATGCTGAATCGATCAGAGTGTAAAATTCCTTATGAAATTTATCAATAATACTTTTAGAGATAGGGAGATACCATTCCCTGTTATTGAGAACCTTATTGTACATCTCCAGATATTGTATGTTGTTCATAAGGACAATATTACTGTATTTATCAGCAGGTTTAATTACTATGTGTGGATTGTTGGTTAGCTTGGAAAGGGCATCCCTTTCAGATAAATTACTGGTACCTTTTGTGATCCTTAGGTTCCTAATTTCTCCACAAGTAAGAGTAATGAAAGCAGCCACACTGGCATTAAAATTAAAAGGGTGAAACTCATCTGATTTATTTTTATTGGAGATGTTAGAAGGAGCTGTCTCTATCCGTTTGACCTGTCCAAGAAGTTGATTGAAATCTCATAATTCAGCAAGCTCTAATGACTCCTGGTCATCTAGCAGAGCAATGAGGTCATCTACAGCACGAAGATCATTGCTATTGTCAATCCTTTAATTACTGTCATTCTTTGTGTACCATCTGTAGTATTAGTTTACTAGCAAAAAGATGGAGGCCCTCGATAGTCTCAAATATATCAGCATTATTGTTTGGGCAGAAACTTAAACCTTTAGTGAGAATTTGTAATTCTGCATCAGACAGCAAATGACTAGAAAGGTTGACTATAGTTAATCCAGAGTCTCCACATTGGTTTTACTCTGATTGGAGTCTCGTGTGTGTGTGTGTGTGTGTGTGATCTGAGATGTGTTCACATGGGGACTGAGAGATTGCTCTAAAAAAGTAGTATTACCATGTATATGTGCCTCCTGATTAGGTGAAACAGTGCAGTTACATGTGTGGGATTTAGTATCTCTAGAAGAGGAGGGGGCACTAGGACAGGAGGGGGGGTATCTTCACATAAGGTGGACAGTGGATTTTTTTACATAAGTGAAGGTGCATTTTACCTCGCTGCCTAGTGCTGCAGCCTGCCCTGCATCCATGGGTGCAGTGTGGGTCAGAGCGCAGTGGGCCTTCCCCCTCTGGGCCCTTAGCAGTGCACACATTGCAACGATGGCTGATCTGCCACTGGCCTGTATCCAGATAGAAAGATAAAAAGATGGATGGATGGATAGATAGATAGAATGTCAATATTCTGGGCCCAGATGCAGTTTACAGTTTTTCTGTCTTACAATTGCCCCCCAAGTCTTGCTCTGACTCCTTAGACAAGGATAGAAAGTGAGAGAAGATACCGCCAATGGGGATACAGACTGGAATAGAAACCTCAGGTTAATATAAAATTAAAAAAAAAGCTTTGAAGACCAAATTAAATGAACCACCCTGGAGGATTTCTTTAGGAAAATAATACCTTAATTTATTTTTTATTTTCAGGTCCATGGAGGTATTTGTGATCCTAGAATCATTTGAAAGGATTTCCTAAATACTTTGTATGGGATATGCTGCTGTTCCCTAGCTAAGGCTGTTTGCACAGTGTTTTAGTTGTTGATTGGATTGATTTTGTGGTTGACTGTGAGTAATTGGTTGGCTGTGGGGTTCTGTACATATTATCACTACTTATTGAGCTTTTAAGTGATCGCATTTAAAAAGAAAAATGATAAGAAATTCAGCATAGTATAATTCCATATATACTCTGACTGTGAGGTTAATTGTGCTTGTATATACAATATATTGGCAACTGGCTGGGGGATTAAAGTGAAACTGAACTGTATCTGAGCATTACAAACTAAAAATGTTATTTTATTAATTTTTATTATTCACAGTAAACTCACCCATCTATCCGTTTAGCTTTTACTTCCTAAAATCCATCTGCCCTTAGCTTGGGCTTGCAGACAGAAGGATGTGCTTAGCTAAAAAATCCCATTCTCCCCTCCAATAAAGGACAGAATTTAGGAAGCAACTGACAAAATTGTAAAAAAAAATTCAAAACAAGGAAATATGCCTTCCTATCTATTTACTAAATCCCATAGCATAAGGATTAAAAATATTTAGTGGGGTTTTTTTTAATATTTTTATTAATGATTTGAATTTACAATCAGCAAACAAAGCATAATGACAGAAAAGAAAAAGTAAAGATACATAGCAAATATATGTACCACAGGGAAAGTACAGTTCACAAGGCTTATATTTTATATTTATTCCACTATTAATGTTTGTTCTGCCATACATCAGTTTTGCAGCTTCTGTTGCTTAGGGCTCTTTCACACTGCTGTGGTTTGACCATAGTAAGGCTGAATCTCAGTGTACAGTTGCAAGAAAAAGTATGTGAACCCCTTGGGATTACGTGGAGTTTTGCATGAATTGGGCATAAAATGTGCTCTGAACGTCATCTAAGTCACAACAATAGAAGAACACAGTCTGCTGAACATAATACTACACAAACATTAGATGTTGCCATGGTTTAATTGCACATAACATGTAAACATTCACAGTGCAGGGAGGAAAAAGTATGTGAACCTTTGATTTAATAACTGATTGACCCTCCTTTGGCAGGAATAACCTCAACCAAACGTTTCCTGTAGTTGCAGATCAGACCTGCACAACGATCTGGAGTAATTTTGGACCACTCCTCTTCACAAAATTGTTTCAGTGTAGAAATATTCTTGGGATGTCTGGTGTGAATCGCTCTCTTAAGGTCATGCCACAGCATTTCAATCGGGTTGAGGTCAGGACTCTGACTGGGCCACTCCAGAAGGCGTATTCTGTGCTGTGGCAGCCATTGTTTTGAAGAATTACTTGTATGCTTTGGGTCATTGTCCTGTTGCATCACCCATCCTCTGCGGAGCTTCAGTTGGCGGACAGATGGTCGTACGTTTTCCTGCAAAATGTCTTGATAAACTCTGGAATTCATTTTCCCATCAATGACAACAATCCGTCCAGGCCCTGAGGCAGCAAAGCAGCCCCAAACCATGAGGCTCCCTCCGCCATGTTTTACAGTGGGGATGAGGTTTTGATGTTGGTGTGCTGTGCCTTTTTTTCTCCTCACATAGTGTTGTGTGTTCTTCCCAAACAACTCAATCTTGGTTTCATCTGTCCAAAGTATATTTTGCCAGTAGTGCTGTGGAACATCCAGGTGCTCTTTTGCAAACTTCAAACGTGCTACAATATTCTTTTTGGACAGCAATGGCTTCCTCCGTGGTGTCCTCCCATGTACTCCATTCTTGTTTAATGTTTTCCTTATTGTAGATGTGTCAACAAAAATGTTAGCATGTGCCAGAGATTTCTGTAGGTCTTTAGCTGACACTCTGGTATTCTTCTTTACCTCATGCAGCATTCTGCGCTGTGTTCTTGCAGTCATTTTTACAGGACGACCATGCCTAGGGAGAGTAGCAACAGTGCTAAACTTTCTCCATTTGTAGACAGTCTGTCTTACCGTGGACACATGAACATCAAGGCTTTTGGAGATACTTTTGTAACCCTTTCCAGCTTCATGCAAGTCAACAATTCTTGATCGTAGGTCTTCTGAGAGCTCTTTTCTGCGAGGCATGGTTCACATCAGAGAGTGCTTCTTGAAACCAGTAAACCCAAAACAGGTGTGTGTTTTTTAAGGGCAGGACAGCTGTCAGCAACACATCCAATATCATCACACTGATTGGAGTCAAGGTTGGCTCACTCCTGGCTCCAATTAGCTCTGGGAGAAGTCATTAAGCTAGGGACTCACATACTTTTTCCTCCCTGCACTGTGAATGTTTACATGTTATGTGCAATTAAACCATGGGAACATCTAATGTTTGTGTAGTATTATGTTCAGCAGACTGTGTTCTTCTATTGTTGTGACTTAGATGACGTTCAGAGCACATTTTATGCCCAATTCATGCAAAACTCCACGTAATCCCAAGGGGTTCACATACTTTTTCTTGCAACTGTACCTGTGATTTTCGTGCGGGTTACTTGACGTTTTCTATAGACTTCTCTTATGTCCCCTTTCTTTTGTACATTTTCTGAAAGCACACCAAAGAGTGCAGGAGTTTTGGTGAGCTTTCAGAATACCAAAAATACAGGACATAATAAATGTGTATGGGAAATTGTGGGTAACCCGCACAAAAAATGTGGGTACACTGTGCTGCACCCACCACCCAATGTGAAAATGTCATTAGAGTCTTTCTTTGTGAAACTGAATTCTCACCTGGGGTAATACAGCTAGTACTGGTGGCATTTGTGTCTGCTCTCTCTATGATGCTTTATATGGAGAGAGTAGATATTACAGCAACAGCATAGGAACTGGAGATCCTTTTCTCTTCTGAACTCCCTCTTTGATTTCCAACCAACAACCGTTGTGGTCCCTGACCTTGTATGCTCCCTATCTCCTAATTGGAGTATAGTCTCAAATGCAGGACATTTGCTTAGTTACATCCACAAATGAAATACTGTAGTTGAAAATTCATTTTTTTATTATTTATTTATTATAGGTACATATATAGCGCTGTCAATTTATGCAGCGCTTTACATATATATTGTACATTCACATCAGTCCCTAATCCTCAAGGGGTGTACAATGTAAGGCCCCTAACTCATATTCATACATACACATACTAGGGCTAATTTAGACAGGATCCAATTAACCTCCCAGCATGTCTTTGGAGTGTGGAAGGAAACCGGAGTACCCAGAGGAAACTGATGCAGGCACAGGGAGAACATGCAAACTCCAGGCAGGTGGATCTGTGGTTGGGATTCGAACCAACGACCCTAATACTGCCAGGTTGAAGTGCTAACCATTCATTTAAGGGCCTCTTACACGTACTGTATGTAATCTGATATTTAGCTATACAATTACATCAGAATTGCTTACATCATATAAGTTGATAAGGTTGGTGCACAGTTACAGTATCCTGGATGCAAGTGATAAATATGAGATATTTACAGTATATGCAATATTTGCTTGAGAAAAGGATGAGTAAAAAAAAAAAAAAAATCACACCTTTTATTGTTTAGTCCTTGATATAAACATGCATTTTGCTTCATATCTGTCCTTTAGAAGAGAAACACTACAACAGTGATATCAACCTAGAAAATATTTTATAGGGTGCTAAAGATGGTAAACACTGCAGACATTGCTGGTTTGTGTAATAAAAGGGAACTTCCGAATGTGTACTGCAAAAAAAGATGTTGAGCAGATATAGAAAGTTTTGTAGGGTACTTAGGACTCATTTACACTTATGTTGGTCTCTGAAATGTGATCTGCGGGTGATCACTTTTCAGAAAAATTGGTACAGGAGTTCCTGAAAAATTCAGTAGGAGTTTACCTACATTTTTTTTTTATACAGCCGAACATGGTTTTTGAATAGGAATATCAAGCCCCAACCAAGAGTCTAGTATTTGGTTCACATTTGCAACATGGCCACATTCACTGCCAACTGAATGTGAGGGCATAATTCTTACCCCATCTGTGAAGCAAAGCATCGCAACCACAGCATGTGTTCAACTTAAATGGGCTGCCTTGTTATTTTAAGGTTTGTGTTTGGGGGCAGTAATACCTCCTATTTTTTATCACCCCCCTCTTCTTTGACTGCAAGTGTAAAAATTCAAATCAAGGAAAAGTGGTGCAATGTCCACACAAACTTAATAAACAATACTAAGAATTACACCAAAATACAAAACAAAAGTAATATCCATAAAAACAGATACTGAATATTGCACACAACTCGCAGAATACTTGCAGAAGGCTTGAAACAGTACTGTGCTATGTTTACATACAGAGAATAAAAACAGAGAATGTCATGCATTGCGAATGAAGTAGTACTATTCATTAAGTGTTCTTGCATGGAAAGACCACTTACTGTTATCTCACATATATATTCCTATTATTATAGCCAAATTGACCACCCTAACTCCTCCCACAGTTTTTACACTACATAGACAGTAATATACCGAAACGTGCGGATTGTTCCTGATTGGTGTGCTATTACTTTGTGGAATGTTTCGTCGAATGGTTCACGAAATATCAGCGTTTTTGTGGTGAAAGTGGTCCCATAGGAATGAATGGCGGAATGTTCAAAACTAGAGTGGGAGCTGACAAAAGCTAGAGTGTGAGCTGAAAAATCAGGACATGATTTCTAAACCTTTTCACAGTTAATCCAGCCACTCCACCCAGTTACTCTGCCCACTCCAGTTGTAGACTACTGGTGGAGGCAAGAACACTTCACACAATTTCCCCAGAAATTGTAGTTGTTCTAGTTAAGTGTTCTTGCATGGCAAGACCACTTGATGTTATCTCACATATATATTCTTATTATAGCCAAATTTACCACCCTAACTCCTCCCACAGTTTTTACACTACATAGACAGTAATATACCGAAACTTGGATTGTTATCTCATACATTATTATATTCCTATATATAGCCAAATTTTACCACCCTAACCTCCTCCCGTGTAAATATACCGTAAACGTGCGTTGTTCCCGATTGGTGTGCTATTACTTTGTGGAACGTTTCGCCAAATGGTTCACGAAATATCGGCGTTTTGGTGGTGAAAGTGGTCCTATAGGAATGAATGGCGGAATGTTCAAAACTAGAGTGGGAGCTGACAAAAGCTAGAGTGTGAGCTGAAAAATCAGGACATGATTTCTAAACTGCCATCACTCCCTCATTTTCAAGCCCACCTACACAAATCGTATATCAAAACATTCAGCTATCCCTGCTGCCACTAAAAATGTCCACGGCTAAGCCATAGTCCTGATAGTTTTCACAATATGACCATTTGTTTGCAACCCATGCCGCCCATTGACCTTTTCACAGTTACTCCAGCCACTCCAACCACACAACAGTTACTCAAGCCACTCCACCCAGTTACTCCGCCCACTCCAGTTGCAGACTACTGGTGGAGGCAAGAACACTTCACACAATTTCCCCAGAAATTGTAGCTTTTCTAGTTATCAAAGTTTTAGTCAAAGTAACTGAAACAGAAACATATCAAGACTGTCTTGCCAATTACAGGTCATCTGGCATCTATGCAAGGAATATCTCTGGTCAGGTGCTTGGTAGGTATGAGCTCAGTGTTCGTTCCGAATGCCCAATGCTTAGGTCAATCAGCACAGATGATTGTGATATCTTCTGGCTGTGAATGATTGCTATGAAAGAAGCAGATGCTTGCACCCACCATGTCCATACCAACCACTCCAACCTCACCTGGTCCTTTCACTTCCATGTGCTCCTTGCTGTGAAGGCCAGTTATAGATTGGGGCAGTGGCCATTTTTGTACCATTCACTTACAAGCAATAGGCAAGGATTGGAGGGGGTTACATCATAGCCTAAATGTGACCACATGGTCATACCTGATGTCACATCCCTTGCCATATATAACTGCTGACATTCGGCTAGTGTTAGTCAGGAACCCTTAATTGTACTCTTTAATCATTCATGTAGAGAGAGGGGGGGAGTATGTGGAGGCAAACCTTATTTTTTAAGGGGAAATCCAGATTCGAATAAGCCCACTGTCCACAGACCCCCAAAGCCACCGGTCAGGTTTGTGGTGAAGAGACCCTTGTCCTCGTCGACATGCAGGCAATGATGACAAGGTGTTTTACTGCATGTTGAGGGCATGTAGCCTGGTATAGTTCAGGAGGGGGCTGTACATTCATACCCCTCATTTCTTGGGCAGTCAAGCTGCATGTTCTTATTAAGGGTCTGGTATGGATTTCATGGGGGAACAGTTTTTGGTTTTTTTTGCATGAGGTACTCCCTTAAAATCCATGCCAGACCAAAGAATCTGGTATGTATTTTGGGGGGCTCTACAGAATGCTTTATTTTCTGTAGGATGTACTACAGCAAAAAAAAATTTTCAAAGAATCAAAACACACAGAACCCTCCAAAGGTACCTTAGAAGGGTCTGTGTGCTGTTTATTTGTTTTTTTTTTTACTGCGTGCTCTCCTTCATGACTAGACTTTTATTGCTATTCAGCACTGCGCTACTTTAAGTGACAGCTGCGAGGTCGTGCAACATTGTACACCAAGGAAATTTATATAATTTTTTTTCAAAGAAATCAAGCTTTCTTTTCATGCTATTTGATCACCACTGGGTCTTTTATTTTTTACTATATATATGAAAAAATACTGACAATTCTGCAAAGAAAACAATATTTTCTACTTTCTGCTATAAAGCATATACAATAAAATAAATTTAAAAATCAAATTTCTTCAGAAATTTAGGACAAAATGTACTTTGCTACATGTCTTTGGTAAAAAAGTCCCAAGTGTACATTAGTTGGTTTTAAAGTTATAGCACCTATAAACTATGGTATACGTATTTGAAAATTGATCAATTCTGATGTACTAATGTCCAATTTAATTTCTTGAGGTCATTTAAATGTCAGGGCAGTACAAATACACCCCAAATAACCCCTGTTTGGAAAGTAGACTTTCTGAGGTATTTAGTAAAAGGCATTCTGAGTTTTTTGAAGTTGTCATTTTTTGTTAAACTTTTTGGAAAATTGAAGAATTTAAATAAAATTTCTTTTTTTTTGCACTTTTTTTTACATATTGTCACCAGTGCAGTACAGTGTCATTATTGACTGGTGTGGTGGTGATCCGGGACACTGACTGGTGATAGTGTGTAAAAAACATTTAACCACTTCCCGACCGGCCGTTGTATATAAACGGCCGGACGGTGGCACTGCAGGGTCGGGTGGCCGTCTATAAACGGCCTCCCCGCACCCTGCTTGTGCGTGCTCCCTGGGAGCGCGCAGCACCGCGATCCGGTGCCCGCTGTGTCCTCCGGACACAGTGAAACACCGATCGTCGGACGGGACCTCTGTACGAGGTCCCGATCATGTGATCACTGATTGGCCAATCAGTGATCACATGCAAAGTAGTAAGCAAGATGTCACTTCTGACATCATTGCTTACTATGTGTGAAATCTGTGAATGATCACAGAGGTCACATGGTACAAGGCTATTCACAAAAGCCTTGTACCATGTGACAAGCTGTGACCAATCACAGCTCACTCTGTATTTCTCAATGAGTGCAGGAATGCACACAGAGAGAAAGAGAAATGATTGCGTTTAACACCCTTTGCAGGTGTTATGGCTTAATTAGCTGATTAGAGTGGGACACTTTGAGCCGAGAATATTGCACCTTTTCACAATATTCTAATTTTTTGATCGTGGATTTGGGGTTTTCATGAGCTGTAAGCCATAATCATCACAATTATGACAAATCACGGCTTGAACTATCTTGCTTTGCATGTAATGAGTCTATCTCATATATTAGTTTCACCTTAAATGAACTTTTGCATGATATTCTAATTTTTTGAGTTTCACCTGTATATGTAAAGCACTGCGTAAATTGACAGCACAATATAAGTACCTCTAATAAACAAATTGCAATGCAGTTTCACACATTGTTGCATTGTTAAAAGCAGCAATATATCCCTCAACCAGGGCTGGACTGACAACTCATAGGGCTTCCGGGCAATAGGGGATCATGGGGCCCCTGTGTCCTTGTCCAAACTCAAAAAAGTCTATGAAAAATGTACCAGGGACATCTCATGGGGCCCCCTACTGACCCCGGGCCCTCAGGCAGTGCCTGAGTTTCCAAATGGTCAGTCCGCCCCTGCCCTCAACAGTTAATAAAACATATACTGTATAAAGCCTAACAATGGACTTCTGTTATTTGTTCACTTTTGGTCTGGTAAATGTATCATTTAAAGCTTCCATTTTTTTTTTCTTACCTGGGTCCTGTACATCAAAAGAGGAAAGGGTACTTTGTACTATAATATTATTGGTATATTACTATAGACCTGTTACTTTTATCACAATTGCCACTGTCTTGTAAAGAAAATAATTGAAAAGGATCCTTTTACAGTTTTCAGTTTGTCATCTTCTTATAAAAAAACTCTAAAAAATAAAACTTTAGATAATAAAACCTTGTTTAGGATTTTATCTAAGAATCCTGCGCAGCAGATAAGATTAAGGTCTGTGGGCTGCAAGCAATAAACACAAAAATGTGTAGCAATTTAGACAACGAGGATGCTGCTCTGTCCCTCCTAAACTATGAACTCTGGTTTTGATGTGAAACTAAAACTAAATCACAACGTATATGTGGTAATGCAATGCACCTCCCTTTGCAATTTGTGATCAAAAGTCCAGCACAATCAAAGTAACATAAATCAGTAGTGCATACCTGACTCCAATAATTAAATACCAAAGTGATATGTGGTTCTACAATACACTTTCCTCTACAATATGTGATCAGAAAATCTTCACTATCAAAGTGACATATAACAGTAGTGCATACCTAACTCCAGTATGAAATGTGTTTAGTACAAACCATATGGACATGGTACTATAATGCACCTCCCTCTAATGGGAAGCTAAAAACAACACTTAAAAATGCACCACTCCTGATGACATTATATGACGAAACGCATTGGAAGGGGCTCATAGCTTCACTTCCAGTCCACATAAGGGTGTTCACAGAAAGTATCAGCATCCTAGGACATATTGATTTAAAAGTGCCATACACATTGGATTGATGTAAGTGCATTTTTAAGTGTTTGTTACATAGTTACATAGTTAGTCTGGCTGAAAAAAAGACAAAAGTCCATCCAGTTCAACCATAAGAAAAAAAAAAAAAAAAAAAAAAAGAAAACTTATAATCTTATACCCACAGTTGATCCAGAGGAAGGCAAAAAAAAACCCCCAGGAAAGCACGATCCAATTTGCTCCTGCAGGGAAAACAATTCCTTCCTGATCCCCCGAGAGGAAATCGGATATTCCCTGGATCAACTTTACCTATAAATGTTAGTATCCAGTTATATTTTGTGTATCTAAGAAAGTATCCAGGCCTTTTTTTGAAGCAATCCACTGAGCTGGCCAGAACCAACACTTGAGGGAGTCTATTCCACACTTTCACAGCTCTCACTGTGAAGAAACCTTTCCGTGTTTGGAGATTACATTTCTTTTCCTCCAGACATAAAGAGTGCCCCCTTTTCCTCTGTGATGACCTCAGGGTGAATAGCTGTACACACCAAGTTCACTATATGAACCACGGATGTATTTATACATGTTGATCATATCCCCTCTTAATCTCCTCTTCTAAAGAGAGAATATAACCAGTTTCTCTAATCTTTCCCCATAGCTGAGCTCCTCCATGCCTCTTATCAGTTTGGTTGCCCTTCTCTGTACTTTCTCCAGTTCCCCAATGTTTTTTTTGTGAATTGGTGCTCAAAACTGAACTGCATATTCCAGATGAGGTGTTACTAATGATTTGTACCGGGGTAAAATGATATCTCTCTCTGGAGTCTATACCTCTTATAATACAAGAGAGGATTTTGCTCACTTTAGAAACCGCAACTTGGCATTGCATGCCATTATTAAGCTTGTGATCTACCAAAACTCCCAGATCCTTCTCCACCATTGATTCCTCCAGTTGTACCCCCCTAGTGTGTATGATGCATGCATATTCTTAACCCCCAAGTGCATCACCTTACATTTATCAACATTAAATATCATTTGCCACATAGTTGCCCAATTAAACAGTGCATTGAGGTTGGCTTGTAAGTTGAAGACATCCTGTAAGGACGTTATTCCACTGCACAGCTTGGTGTTATCTGCAAAGACTGAAATGGGATTTTTAATCTCAATATATATCCAATAAATACGATATATAACGCTATGGAAGTCTCCTTTTGATTGCTTTTATTGTGGTGGAGGAAATAAGTGGTCATTTGAAGTGCTTTCTTCCTGACGAGAGGATACCAGGTCCAGTAGCCAGAGGTCTCAGTAGGGCACAGAAGGCTGGTCCATTCCAGGGGCTTGTTGAAGCACCCAAAAGCACTTTTTGACCTACCTTAGTATAAGTGGTCAATAACCTGCGGTGAGTGGGGCTCTGGAGGGGGGGCACAAGTGAAGCACTCATCACAAATTTTTGTTGACAAGACCACCATCATATCACTAAGTCACGTTGACAATTTGAATGTGGAAGGTGTTTTGTAACACCAGGACTTTCTTACATGAACTTAATGTCAATTTGGTTGTGCATTGATTTGTTCTTTAAGGACGTTGTTCCACAAGGATCCCTTAGTATATTTGCACAGTGCTCTTTGAGGCAAGCTGATGGGGTGTTTTTTTTTGTATTTTGGCACAGTGATGATCTTATTTATGGTTTCTGAGATATCATTATTTATTTTGTCTTAAGTGCATTTCACGTGGTTCTAGTATCTTTCACTCTATGTGTCAATAGGGGGAAGTGCACTGTGGTCCTTGTCACACTTTTTTGAATGGTATTCATGCATGCATCATAACACTCATACTGTATTGTATGTAATTTACATTGCATCCAATATCTTTCATTTTCTGTGATCACTAAGGGTTGTTTTTAGCTTCCCATTAAAGGGAGGTGCATTATAGTACCATGTCATATGGTTTGTACTAGCACATTTCATATTGGAGTTAGGCATGCACTGACTGATATATATATATATATATATATATATATATATATATATATATATATATATAATATCACTTTGATAGTGCAGATTTTCTGATCACATATTGTAGAGGAAAGTGTGTTGTAGAATATCACCTTGGTATTTAGTTATTGGAGTCAGGTATGCACCACTGATTTATGTCTCTTTGATAGTGCTGGATTTTTGATCACATATTGCAAAGGGAGGTGCTTTGCATTACCACATGTGACGATCACGACATCAGACCCCAGACCTTCTCCTCACACTCGTGACCAAAGGACTAGCCAATCTAAAACCGCGATGTCACGTGCCTAACAATGCCACGCCCAGCTGCACCCTTCACAACGATTTTCCAGCTAATGGACCACCATCGATGTACCGGCAGCCTGAGCGCGATTGTTACTGGGTCAGGTTAATTATGCAATTAACCCTTCACACTGCCACCACCTCCTTTTTGTACAGAGAAAGAGGAAACTCTGCAATATCAGCAATAACACTGGGATGATCAGATAAACGTCTGTATACCACTGTCACCGCAGGCACGTTATACAGAGGGTTAAAACACACACATAGTAGCGCTCTTCAGGAATTCGTAAGTTGCATTAAGGAGCTTTAGAAACAGTTCAACACTTTCACAAAGAAAGATTTATTACTAAAAGGTCAAAAAGGTGCAATAAAAATATTTACAGAAAAAAGATAACCTTTATATAGATATATATAGATATAGATATAGATATATATATACACAGAGCAATAACACAGCAAAAAGGTAACAGAAAGAAGTTTAGAGAGGTAGAGTACTTGCCAAAAGTCCTGGGTTAAGTAGGTCAAGTTTCAGAGCAAAAAGGGAACCGTCTCCCACCGTCTGATGTTAAAAGGGAGATTTCTTCAACTTCCACTCTTAGGCCTGGCAGCCTATTTTGTAGTCCCCCAGCAGGGGGTGTCTCTGAAGCCAAGGACCAATGCCTCATTCAGGGAGGGGTGTCTAGGCGGAGATCCAAGCTAGAACCAAAATCTCTCCTAGCTTATATTTTGGCTCATAACTTTTTCCTAGGCACAAGTAACATCCACCCGCGGGTAGATTAATATGCAGACGCATCTGAGGAACGGTTAGGTTTGAAATATGAAGTACATACTTGAATGGTTCAAGAGATGTAATTTTCTGCTTTCCTATATATTCCAGCCAAGGAGTGTGACATATCAAACGGTTTGTCTGATCGTGAGCAATCTGAAGATATGCCTGGTTTTTATGTATGTCTCTCATATTCCAAGATATGAGACATAGGGGGAAAATGGATTTCAAAAGTGATACATAGTTTATGACTCCCCTGGAATGTCTTTGAACTCAGGGGAAGGCTTGGGTTATCCTTTTACGAGGTGCCAGATTGCAGTTTCTTAGACTGCTCAACACCCAGCTCAGA